TATATATAGCACATTGTGAAATAGCTTCTTTACTATAAAAGTTGTATTGTGTCCATAAAAATCCATAAAAAAGCAGCTTATAAGTCTACATGGATAACATTTAATCAATGCTCTTTAAGTGGCTCAAACAGTGAATTTTCCCCATAAGTAAATTACTTGATTTATTTAGATGCCTGAAATCAGTAACATGGTGCACTGATTACTCAGAAAAGAGAATATTCACTTTTGCAAAGTGTTTGTCCTGATTGCAAAGTAAACAATAGTACATAGGGTGAAGTTGTGTTCAGTTTGAATGCTCAATCATATGTTAGTAAATTACCTGTCTTTTTTTTTACATTTCCCGTGTAAATGTTTAGGTATTCAAAAGAAACACTGTTTCTTTTCTTTTTTACTAAAATGTAATTTTCAAAGTGAATTTAGTTTGCTGCATGAAAAAGCTTTTAGATTTATAGAAAATAAATACTAATATTTTATCAAAAAAACTATGCACTATTAACTTTACACCCTATAAAATGCCCAAGGCATAGATAAAGTGCTAATGTGGTCTGTTCTAAAATACAAAAAAATGAATGCGAATTGCAGTTTTTTTTACTAGGTTTACTAGGTGCAAACTGAGAAACAAAACTATAAGACTCAAATTCAGCATTCAAAAACATTTACATTTTTATTTGGCCACACAGAGTTTAAATAAACTGATATTACCAAAACGTAATCCATAATTTTAAAACACTAATATATGAAAAATATACTGTTTTCTTGTATAGAAAAAAATGATTTTTTTTTAAAGCCATTTTTAATATTGAGTTAACAAAAATTTGTACACATGAAGCATAGGCAAAAAGGTTATATACATTGAAGGAAATAAGTATTTGATCCCTGCTGATTTTGAATGTTTGCCCACTCACAAAGAAACGATCAGTCTAAAAAATCGAAATGGTAGGTGTATTGTAACACTGAGAGACAGAATAGCAACACAAAATTCTAAAGAAATGCATGTCTAACAAATGATGCACTGATTTGCATGTTCATGAGGGAAATAAGTATTTGATCTCCTATCATTCAGCAGGACAACTGTCAGTCTCCCTAGGTCTGGTGCACCATGCAAGATCTCACCTCGTGGAGTGTCAATGATCATGCAACAGTGTGAGGAATCATCCCAGAACTGCACCTGAGGATCTTGTCAATGATCTCCAGGCAGCTAGGACCACAGTCACCAAGAAAACAATTGGTAACACACTACGCCGACACAGATTGAAATCCTGCAGTGCCTGCAAGGTCCCTCTGCTCAAGAAAGCACATGTCCAGGCCCGTCTAAAGTTTGCCACTGAACATCTGAATGATGCAGAGGAGGACTGGTTGAAAGTGTTGTGGTCAGATGAGACCAAAAATCGAGCTCTTTGGCATCAACTCAACTTGCCGTGTTTGGAGGAGGAGGAATGCTGCCTATGACCCCAAGAACACCATCCCAACTGTCAAACATGGTGGTGGAAACATTCTGCTTTGGGGGTGTTTTTTTGCTAAGGGGACAGGACAACTGCACTGCATCAAAAGGAAAATGGACGAGGCAATGTACAGTCAAATCTTGGGTGAGAACCTTCTTCTCTTAGCCAGGGCATTGAAAATGGGTTGTGGATGGGTGTTCCAGCATGACAATGACCAAAAACACACGGCCAAGGCAACAAGGAAGTGGCTCAAGAAGAAGAACATTAAGGTCTTAGAAAAACATACAAACAAGGTATGCAGCACTAAACAAATGCTATAAAGAAAACACTGTTCCCAAAACTCTGTAGGAACAAAAATGATAATGCTAATAGTCTGTCCAAAAAGTTCCCAGTATGGTAATTAAAACCATGTAGACTTGTAGAAAAAAATGTTCAAAACAGCATAACATCAGCGTGCAATCCTGAAGATACCAACAAAATTATGCACTTACCACAAGAACATACAAACTGAGCGTTGTATGTATATAATCAGGTTTGTGTCATCAATGGAAAAAGGAGCCTGGTTCACACTGCGGACCATACCATCGGTCACTAGGATAAGCATTCAGGGGATGTCAGCACACGCTCTGGGGTCACATCCAGCTCACCGGGGTCCAACTTATTTCCTTAACTGTAAGACCTAAAAGTCTAAATGTTACATACTTTTAAATAAAACAGTGGTTTACCACTAATATCTACAGTGGATATAAAAAGTCTGCACACCCCCTGTTAAAATGGCAGGTTTCTGTGATGTAAAAAAATGAGACAAAGATAAATCATTTCAGAACTTTTTTTCCACCTTTTATGTGACCTATAAACTGTACAACTAAATTAAAAAACAAAACTGAAATCTTTTAGGGGGGAGTAATGTGGTTGCATAAGTGTGCACACCCTCTTATAACTGGGGATGTAGCTGTGTTCAGAATTAAGCAATCACATTAAAAAATAATATTAAAAAGGAGTCAGTACACGCCTGCCATCATTTAAAGTGCCTCTGATTAACCCCAAATAAAGTTCAGCTGTTCTAGTAGGTCTTTTCTGACATTTTCTTAGTCACATCCTACAGCAAAGGCCATGGTCCACAGAGAGCTTGCAAAGCATCAGAGTGATTTAATTGTTAAAAGGAATCAGTCAGGAGAAGGGTACAAAATACTCTTCAAGGCATTAGATATACCATGAAACACAGTGAAGATAGTCATCATCAAGTGGAGAAAATATGGTGCACCAGGGACATTACCAAGAACTGTGCGTACCTCCAAAATTGATGAAAAGACGAGAAGAAAACTGGTCTGTGAGGCTGCAAAGTGGCCTACAGCAACATTAAATGAGCTGCAGGAATATCTGTGAAGTACTGGCTGTGTGATACATGTGACAACAATCTCCAGTATTCTTCATATGTCTGGGCTATGGGGTAGAGTAGCAAGACTCTTATGAAGAAAAACATCCAAGCCTGGCTAAATTTTGCAAAAACACATCTGAAGTATCCCAAAAGCATGTGGGAAAAATGTGTTAATGTCTGATAAACCAAGGTTGAACTTTTTGGCCATAATTTCAAAAGATATGTTTGGTGCAAAAAACAACACTGCACATCACCAAATGAACACCATACCCACAGTGAAGCATGGTGGTGGCAGCATCATACTTTGGGGCTGTTTTTCTTCAGCTGGAACTGGGGCCCTAGTCAAGCTAGAGGGAATTATGAACAGTTAAAAATACCAGTCAATATTGGCACAAAACCTTCAGGCTTCTGCTAGAAAACTGAACATGAAGAGGAACTCTTTTAGCATGACAACAAATCAACAAAGGAATGGCTTCACCAGAGGAAGATTAAAGTTTTATAATGGCCCAGCCAGAGCCCAGACCTGAATCCGATCAAAAATCTGTGGGGTGATCTGAAGGGGGCTGTGCACAGGAGATGTCCTTGCAATCTGACAGATTTGGAGTGTTTCTGCAAGGAAGAGTGGGCAAATATTGCCAAGTCAAGATGTGCCATGCCGATAGACTCATACCCAAAAAGATGGAGTGCTGGAATAAAATCAAAAGGTGCTTCAACAAAGTATTTTGTTTAAGGGTGTGCACACTTATGCAACCATATTATTTTAGTTTTTTATTTTTACTTCCCTCCACCTAAAAGATTTCAGTTTGTTGTTCAACTGAGTTGTACAGTTTATAGGTTACATTAAAGATGTAAAAAGTTCTGAAATGATTTATGTTTGTCTCATTTTTTTACATCACAGAAACCTGACATTTTAACAGAGGTGTGAAGACATTTTATATTCACACACACACACACACACACACACATATATATATATATATATATATATATATATATATATATATATATATATATATATATATATATATATATATATATGAAAAAGTATACATATTGTATTGAATGTTTTTGCAGTCATTTAGTCATTTAAAGATTGTTTTACATTAAAGAATTTAAAAGTGCATGATTTTCCCAATTGTATTTGTTATTCGATTTCTCCAATTTGTGTAAGAAAAATATGCTTTAAATTAAAAAAAAAAGTTTCCAAATAAAATTCTCCTATGCACTTAAAAATGGTATGAAAAATATGTTGGAATGCAAAGTGATTTGAAATTGTTAAGGCCAAGTAAACTAATACTGATACAAAATATGGTGTGGTCACAAAAGTTTCAAAGGTTTCAATTATCCCCAGACTTGAAAGGATTATGCAATTGGAATGAGCAACTATAAAATATCATTTCCCCCTGATTTACTAGGTGAATAAGACTGATCAGCTGATGTTCCAGGAAGTAGATCACAACAGCCTATGCAGCATACAGTTTTTTTTGTAGATGAAAAAAAATGTTTTACATCCATGACTCATTCTGAAAAAAGGTCAGACAGTAATTTGGTAATCATTTAATACACATTCATGGAAAAGATATATACAAATGTAAGTCAGTGATTCCTATAGTTTTAGACAGTGTTTAGGCCAGCAGAGAAGGCCTTGCTGGCCCTGACAGCTCACCACTGAGTAGATGATAGGCTTAGAGAGGGTTCAGATTTTAAAGAGTTATGATATAACCAATTGCCCTCCTGAGATATACCTCCCTTCCTGACCAGGCCATTTTTTGCGTTACGGCGCTGCGTTATTTTAACTGACAATTGCACAGTCATGCAAAGCTGCACCCAAATGAAACTTATGTCCTTTTTTTTTCCCCACGAATAGAGATTTCTTTTGATCACCTGTGCGGTTTTTATTTTTTGTGCTATAAAAAAGGTGCAAATTTTGAGGAAAAAAACTATATTTTTGACATTTTGTTATTAAACATGACCAGTAAAAAAATTTAAAAACCAAATTTTGTCATAAATTTAGGCCAAAATGTATTCTGCCACGTCTTTGCTAAAAAAAAAAATCCATATATGTGTAAATTAATTGGGTTATGTGAAAGTTATTGCGTTTACAAACGGCATATATACTGGGTTTTAGTTTTCTTTTTTACTAGGCAGTGATCAGTGACTTATAGCGGGACTGCGAGACTGAGGGACTGCGGCAGACATTCTGATACTGGGGGGAGCTGACTTGGTGTCACTGACATCCCCAGTGACAACAATACAGTGATCAGTGCTAATAAAAAGCACTGACACTGTACTAATGGTACTGGGCAGAAATGGGTTAGCATGTGGGGTGATCAAAGGGTTAACTGTGTGCTGTTTTACTAAGTGTAATGTGTTAACTGTAAGCACACTGCTTTGCATGGCTGTGTAATGTGTTAACTGTAAGCACATGCACAGCCATGCAAAGCAGTGTGCAGGAGCTGACAGAGGAGAGAACTGTTTTGTTTACTAACAGTTTTCCCACCTATTGGAGATGCTTGCCAATCACCGGGAGCCGGCTAGTAATCACCGGCCAGGATCCAGTGATTGACAGCCACGGTCACGAATGGCGGTGCGGGTAGGGCTTGTATATATACGTGTTCTTCTGCACAGCTGCCGCCCTGTAGCAATATTTCTGCTATGGGCAGCACTAAAATGGTTAATGTATTAAAAACCTTGTTTTTCTGTATATAGATTACTACTAACAAAGAGGCAAAAGACAATATATGAATGGAGATCATTTCACAGTCCTACTCCACCCGCCATTTTCACTGGACAAACCATGGAGGTACCAACTTCTTTTTAAACTGAAAATTTTCTGTTACTATTTACAGAGATGGAACAGAGATAGGTATATTCAACATATACTCTTTCATGTTATTAATCCTCTGTCTATTTATTTCTGCTTTATATTCCAGCAACAGTGCACTATTTCGTAATCTTCCTGTCTTCTCATCAAGATCTCTTTAGTCAGAATGTGTTGTGTACTATATATTGCATGTTATATATTGCACACAGATGCACATGCAGCACATTTGTATAAGAAATATTACACTATATTAGTTTTTTTCTTTTGAAGATTTGGATCAGTACACTGGAAGATCACATGAGAGAGAGAGAGATATTCTATGGTACACAACACATTCTGGGTGAGAAGACAGGAAGATTGGAGTACAAAGTAGTGCGCTGTTGCTGGCATATAAAGACTTTTTACCCGGGGGGGGGGGGGGTGGGGGGGGGGGGCGGGGTATTGGACTGAAAGCTGCACTTTTGTTTATGTTGTTTTGTGGCGCTTCACATAATTTTAAATATTTATTTCTGCTGCCTGTTGCTTTTTATTTTATATTATTTTATTTGATATTGCTTTCTTGCATGGCATCACAGGGACCAGTATCTCTCAAACTGTGACCCCAGTTATAACAGCATGTGATTTTCCCAGATAGCTTTGCTAAATCTAAGTATTGTGGCAGTTGTATTGTGGTTAAGGGATTATTGGTCGTTTGGAATTTAGATTGTCCTGTCTTCATGCTGCACACGTAAATACAGTGGTGATTGGTCTGGATAATTTGCTTTTAAATAAAACATGACCTTAAATGACCATGTAAAATTATTTAGGCAGGCAAATTAGTTCTAGGCTTATTGTTAGGTTTATCAAAGCATACTGATTCTGCTAAAATTGGTCTGAGTATCTAGGCTTTAAGGACCCCTGGTCATTAAAGTTAGCTAATAAGTATAATTTTAGAATTCTCTAACAGGCTTCTTATGTGAGTAAGGCATTTTTCAATAGATATGTGTCGTCTTCATAAGCATTAATTACTGATAAAACAGCCATTTTTTTAAATTGTTCTCGAACATTAGCATGCTTGTTCTCTGGGGAAAAACTTGTGTTTGGCCCTTCTGGTGTGCAGGAGAAGACATGGGGCTGATATGTTTTATCAGAAACCACACGGACATGTTACCCAAGCTACAGAAGAAAGTATGTCTCTGTTTATAGAAAGTGAAGGCTGCCTTGACAGGCTGCAGCAATCTATACAGAAACTAACAGATGAGCAGTTTACTCTTTTAAGATGACACTTTGCAAAGACTGTAGAAAGCCAAGAAAGACGAGTGTTTTCTATCAATTACATTAGGAGATACAGTAAATGTCATGTTTTAATCATTTATATTACCAAATTAGTCCCAATGTCAGTTGTTATCTTGAAGTGGTGAGCTGCCAAGCCAGACCTATTTCTTCAAGGCCTTATTGTTTTACATTGAAATAGTGCAGACTTCACAAGAAAGCTTGAAGGGCCACAGGCCGCCGAAGGAAAAACTGTCGGGAAAGGCAAGCTTTGTGTTACCAAATATAGGCAAGAGTACACTGCTATGTGTGATTGATAACAGCGCAAGTATAGGGCCTGCTTCACTCTGCAGCGATTGTGAAAAATAAATCAGTTTACATTCCCACAATCAGATCTTTCTTGCAGAATAATGGCAGGCAATTACAGAGGTTTTAAAAGTCTCATGAAGCATCTTGATTCAAACTTTTCAATAGAGTTCATCAATCAAGATATGAAAAGTCTCATATTTTATCTCTAAATTACAGGAAGAAATAATAATGTTTCCAGGAGGGGAATTCCGATTTCAAAGAACAAGTCATCTGTTTAAAAAACCTCATGGATACACACCAGTGTTTGTACTGTGAATTCTAGTCAATCCAGTTCCTCTCTGTGCTTCCCTGTGGCTAGAAGAGGGTAGATGCCCTTAAAGAATATAATAATTTGGTGCTGCGCTAATAATAATTTATCCCTAAATCAAAAATTCATAAACAACAGAAAACCTAACAAAAAGAGCATATAAATTTCTCTTTTTTTTAAGTTTTCTGTTGTTTATGAATTTTTGATTTAGGGATATATTATTATTAGCGCAGCACCAAATTATTATATTCAACAATTTTCCATTGTAGTATGTGGTAGCGTGTTGGCTGCTGTATATAGAGATTGACATTCTGAGCACGGGAGGACTATATAGATATAGATGCCCTTAAAGGTCCAGATGCCTGCACATTTTAGGGCTATGGAGCCAAGCACATTAAGGTACACATGCTACACATTTTACATACAGTATTAAGTGTAATTTCTACAGGCATTAGAAAGCAGGTGTGCCAGTGAACAATAATACGCCACAGTCATAAAGTTGGTTTTCGATTTTTGTATTTATAATTGTCTTGCTAATGGTAAATTAAATAAAATAATTGGTATTATAATATTAACTGGTGCATGCACAAACATATTAAAAATTTAGACCTCAGATCATCCTTAATTCAATACATGTAGCTTCAGATCTCAATCAGCTCCAATGCATGAACTTCACACCTCGTGTTTGAACTTAATGAGTATTCGACCATGAACTTATATGGCTTATATGCAAGTTATTGGCCATAAAAGGGGTATGGGGACACGGGTACTGCCCTGAGGGACATGAATCAGTGAAAAATTTTTTCAAAAAAGTACCGTTTTTAAAGGGGCAGTCATTTTTCATTGCTTAAAGTAAGAAAAAAAAAGAAAAATTCTTTAAAAATATCATGCATGTGCTTGTACCCCTACCCATTCACTAAAGGGTTAAATTCAGTGAAAAATAAATACCTCAGACTTTTGAAAAATGCCTTTATTAAAAAAAAAAAAAGAAAAATAGCCAAAAAAATGCTTCCACCGTTGGAATCCATCACCAATCACAGCGTCTAGCATTCTCACACCGCCACCAATCCGTTCGCACCCGCTGAGCACTTGCCGCAATTTGACATTTGCTGATCGATGTAAACAAGTGGGCGGAGCTAGCAGTGACATCACCACTAGGTCTACCCAATTGCACTGTGATTGACCAAAGCATTGCACCTGTGGTCAGGTGCATTGCTTTGGCCACTCACAATGCACTGTGAGAGCACAGTGCATTGTGGGGTGCAGCAGGTAAACAGCCTGCCAAATGCCCTTACCATTTGTGTGTTCAGCAAAGCCCATCACATCAAGCCCATCACTACCTGACACATGAACTACAGACCTCAGATCAGCCTGAGTGTATAAACATCAGATGTCAGCCTCAGCTACATACACTTTATACAGCACATCCAGAGGTCTCACATGTTAGTAAGGGACATAGTTCATTTTGGGCCAGCTTGGCCCAAATGAACTATGTAAAATTACCAAACGCTGTAGTTCAGCTTTTATTATAGACCTCAGATCAGTCCCGATGCATGAATACCAGCCCTCAGATCAAGCCCAGTGCATAAACGTTAGACCTAAAATTAGCCCCAGTTTATGGACCTTCAGACCTCAGAAAAGCCCCAAATCTGGCACCTTTAAACCTCAGATCAGCCCCAATGTAAGCACTTTCATTCCTCAGATAGGCTCATATCATGCATGTTCAGACCTCAGATCAGTCCTATCAGTTAGTTCTCAGATAAACTTTGAGAACTCAAGCTTAAGCTGGATAAATGTAGAAACCACCAGCACCTGCTTATTTCCCCTTGATCATTGCTGTGCTCCCCCTACACCAAAACATTCCTCCCACTTCCACTTAGTGGTACCCACACTTCCAAGGCTATGCAGTTGCTTCCTGATTGGGATGATGCTTCCCCGACAGAAGGAAGTGTCCTCAGTGCAGGAGGGGAATGAGCACAGCAGAGAGATACAAATCAGCATGTCTCCCAAGTAAAACAGCACACAGCACACAATGTAAAACACACACATTTAATTGTTTGATTACCCCAGATGTTAACCCCTTCCTGCCCAGTGTCATTAGTACAGTGTCAGTGCTTTTTATTAGCACTGATCACTGTATTAGTGTCACTGGGGATGTCAGTGGCAGTTAGTCAGTTCCCACCCAGTGTCAGAATGCCCACCACAGTCCTGCAGTCCTATATGTCACTAATTGCCACCATTACTAGCATAAAAAAAAACCAAAATCCACTATATATACCTCCATTTGTAGATGCTATAACTTTCAAGTAAACCAATTAATATACAATTATTGGGATTTTTTTTTTAGCAAACACATGTAGCAGAATACATTTTGACATAAATTTATAAAGAAATTAGATTTTCTAAAAAAAATGTATTGGATATGTCTTACAGCAAAAAAGTAAAAAAAAAATAAATATATTTTGTCGATCTTTTTTTGTTTTATAGATCAAAAAACTAAAAAGGCAGAGGTGATCAAATACCACTGAAAGAAAGCTTTATTTGTGGGAAAAAATGGCATAAATTACATTTATGTACAGTGTTGCATGACTGCGCAATTGTCAGTTAAAGTAACTCAGTGCCGTATCGCAAGAAATGGCTTGGTCAGGAAGGGGAGTAAATCCTCTGGAGGGCAAATCATACTAATTATATTCACCTTGAAAGTGTGCTATATTTATCTTAAAGTAGTCCAATCCCTAACATTTTATATATCCTTTAACAAGGTAGTGTCAGGTGTGGGGTGGAAAAGCTCTGCTCCTATCTCTCAATCCCATCTGCCAATTACTGCACTGAGTTGTCACTCTGACACATATA